TGCTCTCCCATGTTATCTCTTTTTTCCCGTTTGGTAAGTTTACTTTTTTGTTCCTTCCCACCACCCGTCTCCCCCCCCCTTCCCCAAATCAGCATTTCCACTACCTTTGTTAAAACTGAAAATTTTAATTTTTAATCTTTTTATCTTCGTGTTAAAATTTCACAAAGATAAAAACGAGGCAACCTTGATAATGTAATACGTGTTTGTGTGTGTGTTGATATTTTTTAATTGTTTTATTTTAATTTTACTTTTTTAATTTACTTTTTTTTAATTTTACTTCTTTAAATTTTAATTTTAAAAAAGAAGGGGGGAAAAAGATCCATATTAATATACCGCTAGCTTGGTTCCTTGACATGCTATTAAATCTAGACCGTATAAAAACATACTACTCCATCTTAATTCTACCAGATAAAGACATGTAAAAAATTGACAAAGAGCACATCTCTTGAATCCACTCTTCAACTTCTGGAGTGTTATTTCATTTTCACCTGCATAGAATAATTATCTCAGCCAACCCCAGGCTCAGTAGATATATTTCTGGAATATAATTTAGCATCATATTTGTATCTCTGACTACTGAGTTTTCCCCCACAGTTGTACTAAAAAATGTGATGACTTGAAGCCAAGAAGGAACATGACCAAATTGTATGAGTCATTGTATTTTTTTAGAATGTCAAAACATACACAAATATAATATCCATCTGTTTTTAAGCATTCTCTGGGGGACTCTAATAAACACAAAGCAAGATTTTCAGATGAAATCCACATTTCCATGGTTAACCTTTGGCCTGTATTCAATTCCTTCCAAACACCATGAGGACTAGAAACCTAGTGATGATAGGCTTTCTTTCAATGCAACACATCACTTTTGTCTTACATCCAGACCACATAAGTCACTAGAATCTTTGGAAAACCCTCAGATGGAGGAAGAAGTGGATGAATTGTCCCTAGTTAACCACAATGAAATCATGTCCAGATTGACGTTAAAGCAGGAGGTAAGTCTCCTCTTCCCCTTTTGGGTTGTTTTCATGCTTTCAGTTTTGTGCTTGAAACCAGGCTAGATTAATTATAAATGGCAAGGAAAGAAATATTGGGCTGAACTCAGGTTCTGCACAATGTGATTGAGCACCTTCCTCCTCCTTTAAGAACCCAAGTTTCTAGGAAGGAATATACAGTTGGTTTATTTGATCAAGATTAAAATAGATCAGTTGTTATTTCTGGCAACTCCTTAATGGACTTTTGCTGACACCAGGACTGAAAGGACAGTGTTTATGGATTTGTTTATGGATAAGAGATGGGACATGGGATGAAGAGATCATGGGTTGCAAATGAAGAGGAGGTGAAAAGTTACGAAAAGTGTTTATACTTGTGATGAAGGTTGGAAGTCACTTTTTTATATATTTCTTTCTCTTGACCATATCTACCCCATGGCCCAATCTGTTCAGGAAACAGGCAGTTAGAGTGTCAAAAGAAAATTTGTGCATCATATCTTAGTTTCTTTGGGGTTCTCCCCCATCGCAGGGTGATGATGGCCCGGACGTACGTGGTGGATCAGGAGACATTCTTTTGGTGCACGCGACTGAGACGGCCACTGTGGAGGGGACGGTGAAAGGTACGATGGAAGGAATGTGGGTTAGCCCTGGGGCAAAGCCCTCACTCCCAGCTTGATGCTTTGCCCAGTTAGATTTTGGCAGACGAGAGACAGAGAGGCTGGAGGAAGGATTTTTGAATGGGATCCCTGAACAGGAGCTGCTGAGCTTCATTCGAATGAGAAATGGACCAGATCACCTGCTGGAAAGACAATCTCAGCGGTGGTTATTGTTGGGTGTGCATATGAGGGAGAGTGTCTGTGAGTGTGTGCATGGGGCAGGGGGTGTTCAACCTCTTACATCCACCCTCTGTCTGCAACCTGAGCTAGCCCATGATCTGGAAGGCAGAGGGATCATCTGAGATTCCTACTAATGGCTTCCCTGGTTGCTGTTTGGTTAAAATGTGCAGTCTTCTCTTTGCCCAAACCTCATCGCTCTGGGTGCTCCTGGCCATCAGGGTCACAGCGCTTAGAAACTCACCCTGGGTGGGAGTGGTGATGCAACCAACCCCCCCGGCCCCCAGGGGGGTTTGATCTGATCTGTTTGATCAGAAGAAGGACTCGCTGCTCTGTCTGCTCTTTGCTTCCTCCCTCCACCAGACCTGGTGCTATACTGTGAAGCCTTCTTGACGACGTACCGGACGTTCATTTCCCCGGAAGAGCTCATCAAAAAGCTTCAATACCGATATCCTTTTGGAAAACTGGGCGGGTGACTTTCTCCACCCCAGGATCTGGAGGTCCACCCTGAGAAGCGTGTGGTGCCGGGTATTGTAGGGTGTGGTTAGATGATACATTTTTTCCTATCCTTCTGCCCCGAGGGATCATGAAGTAGCAAGTGATAACGAAACAAAGCAAGCTCCTTCTCCAACAACTTTTGTGTCCTCCGGGTTGGACATATTTCAAAAAGGACCTTTATTTCACAGGAGGTCATGGTCCCGCTGATTTCAACAGCAATGTACGGTGGTACCTCTACTTACGAATGCCCCTACTTATGAATTTTTCGAGATACGACCAGCTCCGGCCCCAAAAATTTACCTCTACTTACGGACTTGCCTCGACTTACGAACCAGATCCGTGGCCATTTTCCGCCCGTTCCACGTGGTCCGCAGCCATTTTCCACCCGTGCCACGTGGTCCATGGCCATTTTCCGCCTGTTCCACGTGGTCCACGGCCATTTTTCCGCCCTGCCGCGTGGTCCACGGCCATTTTCCTGCCCGTTCCACGTGGTCCGTGGCCGTTTTTCCGCCCTGCCGCGTGGTCCACGGCCATTTTCCGCCCGTTCCACGTGGTCCGCAGCCATTTCCACCCGTGCCACGTGGTCCGCGGCCATTTTTCCACCCTGACGCGTGGTCAGCGGCCGTTTTTCCCCCCCTGACGCGTGGTC